TACTAACTTTAGCGACAACCTCGTTGTCCGAGTGAAGTTTCCGTTTCTCTTCCTGTTTACACTGCTACTGTAGCTTACAACTCGAGTACAGATCGCCTTGTTTAGGGAAAGACACGTCACATTGCTCTGATGCAAAGTGCAGCAGTTCAGTGGGTAACATGTGTGTGCACACGTGTGTGTGTGGGCCGCACCTGTGTGGCGTACGAGCAGAGCGACCGGAGCCAGGCAGGATACAAGTGTGTGTTGGTGTGTTCTGGCGATTATATAAAAACTGATTCTTGAATGTCTGAAGTATTTTTGCAATAGCACAACAATAAGAGCGAGGGTCAGGAGGACAGACGGGAGTTATTCCCGTAGGAAACGCTTCTCTTTGGCCCTGCAGCGACACACCCCCCTGCGCCCCTCAACCACGGCCTGAGGCTTATATGAAAGGTTTTAACACAAGCGTAAAATACAAAAGTGCAGGGAGAGACGTGTGTGAAAATGCGCGTCACAACAGAAGACGTAATGTGACGCACAATATCAAGTCCCCACCACACCTCATCTCTCACTCCCCACCACCCGCCACACTGACCCCCTCATCTGGGCTTTAGAAGCGTGATCTGGCCCAAGTGGCACGTGCATGTGATCGCAGCCATAGATCCAGGACTGAGGGACAAACCCACAAATGTAAAGCACTTTGTGACTCTGGTCTGTGAAAGGCACTAAATAAAGATTACTTACTCTAATTTGCTGGTGAATCAAACTACTTTGTAAAGTCCACAGATGACTGTTGATTTTGATCTTTTTTTCATTATCAGCTTCGTGCAGTGTTTTTTTATTTATTTTTTTATCCTGATTTGTGACGGGGTTCTGAATGTGAAATAAAATGATGGCGCAGCCAGAGTACTTTTAAAGTTTTATTCCCAAAATAAAGAATAATAAAGTAATTAAGAATAAAGTATTGAAGTATAAAGTATTGAAGTATAAAGTATTGAAGTATAAAGTATTGAAGTATAAAGTATCAAAGTATCGAAGAGGAGTGCTGTATCAAAAACAAACCAGTGATTAATAAACATATTTACAGTATTTACAGAAAAAAATTACATTGCAAGAAGGTCTCCCGGCTTACCTCCTCTGTCCCAGTTCAGACTCACACTGACACTGACAGTAGAGGCTGGCCTAGTCTTAAACCCCTCAGGCTCCTCCTACATGTCAATTAAGTCATAAACTTTTAGTTTCTACATAAACCATGATTACGTTCCTAATAACAAAAATATGGATAAATCCACAATCAACTCCTCTACTGTAGAGTTCTCCTCTGCACCTGTAGACTACAGAGGAAAAATAATAAAATACATTTCCCAAAATAAACCCGAAAAATACGATGACGTCACCAATGACGTCAGACGCAGACGTACGTGCGAGGCGCTCAAAACAGGAAGCGCGGACTGCGCTCGGTTAGCCGGGTTGGAGTTTGGTGGGGAGACGGATACTGAGTGGAAACTTTATGGAGTGCAAAACTATGGATGGGAATGGTTAACCAGAGGCCTAGTGTGCACCCAAGACAACTGGGATGAATTAATGAACGAGGATGGGAACGGAACGGACTGACAAGGAACAGGAACGACAAACCGGCAAGTGAGTTAGGTATGTATGCATGTGCGTGTGTGCGGGGGAAGTGCGCACGGACTGGGGAGACTGCCCTGGGCATTGACGGAGGCTGCTCCGTCACATTATCCTTCTCCTCCCGAAGGTTGACAAAGTTTTGGCAACCTGGACAGGTAGTCGGCTACCAAATTGGATCTGCCAGAACGGTGGCGGACAGCAAACTTGAAGGGCTGCAATGAAAGATACCATCGAGTCAGACGGGCATTGTGGTCTTTCATAGAGTTGATCCATGTGAGGGCTCTATGGTCCGTTTCTAGATCAAACTCTCTACCAAGTAAGTAATATTTTAGACTCTCTAGGGCCCATTTGATGGCTAATCCTTCCTTTTCTACAACGGAGTAGCGGGATTCTCGGGGTAATAACTTGCGGCTCAGGTACAGGATCGGCTGCTCAGCTCCAGACTCTCCTTGGGTAAGTACAGCTCCCAGACCCACCTCCGAGGCATCTACTTGCACGAGGAACCGACGGTCAAAATCTGGACTGCGGAAAACTGGAGAAGAACAAAGCAGATTCTTTAAAGTATTAAAAGCTTCTTCACATGCTTCTGTCCATGTTACCGGGTTCTTTTTATCTTTTGTCGTTAGGGCTGTGAGTGGTGCTGCGATTGTGGCAAATTGCGGCACAAACCTCCGATACCATCCAGCGAGACCCAGGAAGGATCGAACCTCCTTCTTGGTTCGAGGACGAGGACACTTCTGGATAGCTTCCACCTTATCCAACTGCGGTCGCACCTCTCCTCTATCGAGCTGGTAACCGAGGTACCGGGTTTCACGGCGAGCCCACTCACATTTGGCCACATTTAGGGTCAAACCAGCTGCCTCGATCTTCCTCAGCACGGCCCTCAAGTGACGCACATGCTCATCCCAGGTTGGGCTGAAAATGACAACATCATCCAGGTATGCAGCGCTGAACTCTTCACATCCTTGCAGTACACGGTCCATCAGACGCTGGAATGTTGCAGGGGCACCGTGCAAACCGAAGGGCATTACCGTGAACTGGAAAAGTCCGGCTGGCGTTCTGAACGCGGTGTAAGGTCTGCTTGAAGCCTCCAGCGGCACCTGCCAATAACCTTTACACAGGTCCAGGGTTGTGATGTAGGCTGCTGAGCCAATGCAATCGAGGAGATCATCAATCCTCGGCATCGGGTATGCATCAAACTCTGAGATGGCATTGAGTTTCCGGAAATCAATGCAGATCCTCAAGGATCCATTTTTCTTAAAAACAATAACAACTGGACTACACCACTGTAGACGGCTCGATGACTCCAAGCTCCAGCATGGACTCTACTTCTTGCCGAAGTTGGGCCACCAGCTGCTGAGGGACACGGTAGGGTCGCTGACGTACAGGATTTTGGTCCTTGAGACGAATGACATGCTCGATCAGCGTTGTCCTTCCGGGTTCGGCAGCAAACAGTGCCGAACCCGAAGACTTGAAGACTTCAAGGAGATCGGCAGCTTGGTCTGCAGCAAGGTGTGCAACGAGGGGTTCTGAGGGATCGGTGACGATGGGTACACCGGGGTCTTCATCCTCTGCCTCTTCCACCTGCCTCACCAGCAGTGACATCTCTGGCGCTTGGATGGATGGCTCCTTCCACTCTTTCAGAAGATTCACGTGGTAGATCTGCCGGGTCTTCTTTCTGTCAGGCTGATGAATCTCATACGTGACCGGGTCAGTCCTTCGGGTGATTGTGTATGGCCCTTGCCACTTGGTCAACAGCTTGCTGTTGGAGGAGGGAAGTAGTAGGAGAATTTTTTTACCTGGCTGATACGCTCGTTGTCTGGACTGCTGGTCATACCAGGTTTTCTGCTTCTTCTGAGCCTCCTTCAGGTTCTCTTCCGCTTCATCGCGATAGGTTGCCAACCTGTCCCGCATCTGTAAAACATATTGCACAATGCCCTGCTCATTTGAGTTAGTCTCTGGGGCTGTCCAAGCTTTGCTTAAAATATCCATCGGTCCTTGAACGTCCCAGCCATACAACAGCTCAAAAGGGGAGAATCCAGTGGATGCCTGCGGTACCTCTCTATATGCAAACAAAAGGAATGGCAGCCATCTGTCCCAGTCTTTTCCTGTGTCGCTGACAAACTTTTGGAGCATCCTTTTCAGGGTTTGATTGAACCTTTCCACGAGTCCATCAGTTTGAGGGTGATAGGGTGTGGTTCGGAGTGCAGTGATCCCAAGCTGCCTGTGAAACAACTGTAAGAGACGAGATGTAAAGTTAGTCCCTTGGTCCGTCAACACTTCATCTGGAATTCCGACTCTTGAAAACAGTTGAACCATGGCACGAAGAACAGTGGGGGCAGTGATTGTACGGAGTGGGAATGCCTCTGGATATCTGGTTGTATAGTCACAGAGTACAAGAATACATTGGTGACCACGGGCGCTCTTTACTAGCGGGCCAACAATATCCATTGCTATTCTACGAAACGGTGTAGAAATAATGGGCAGTGGATGGAGAAGTGCACGATCAGATTTGCGCGTGGGAGCAGTCTTTTGACATGTCGGACATGTGGTGCAAAACTGTTCAATGTCACAATACATCCCTGGCCAATAGAAACGGGAACTAACACGCAAGTAGGTCTTATGGCGAGCAAAATGTCCAGCCCACAGAAGTGTATGCGCAACATTCAAAATCAGCTGCCTACAAGGTGCAGGGACAACTAGACGTTTCTGAGAATTCTCAGAGATATACAACACATCGTTAATCACAGCAAACTGCTCTTTCCCAGTCACATTAGCATTGACATTAGCTTTAGCATGCAGCTTTTCAAAACAGGCTCTCAATGACACATCTTGTTTCTGTAACTCAGCAATATTGTCAGGAACTTTCCACAGGTCATCAACATTCATGCATTGGTCCTCCTGGTCACTTAGCATTAGCTTTTTCTCAAACCTGCGCTGCCGCTTAGACTTTTTGGGACCCTTTGTTCCTCCCTCAAACAAGTCATCATCTAGGTCAGGCAGGGGTTCCACACCAGCCTTGGCCTGAGCCCTAGTAACAACAGGACATGCTACTTTGCACAGATCATTAACATTAGGAACAGTATGACATTGTCCTTTCTGCAGTAGATCTAGAAGAACAGGTAAGTCAGTACCAAGTACTAAGTCCACAGGTAAGTTCTCTACCACAGCAACAGTCATAAGATACGGTTGGTCATCAATCAGGATAGTCACTTCTGCCTTTGGGTATGTATGGCTGTCACCATGCACACACAAAATATCAGTTTTTACAGTGTAGTCCAAACAGTTGACAGACACAAAGTTCTTCTTTAACAGGGAGGTGAAACTGCCACTGTCTAACAGTGCTGTCACCTGTTGTGAATTTACAGTCACAGTCTTAAATGTACGTTTCTTTAGTCCCAGAGGGTTAGGATGCTCACTCTCTTCACGCGGTGCATAGCATGCTCCAGTGAGCTTATCCCTCCGCACTGGACAAACGGACGCTTTATGTCCTTGTTGCTGACAGTAAAAGCAAACAAAAGGCTTACCAGTCGCTGGCTGACTTGAAGCAGAGCTGGGTTTACCTCTGGTGTCCTGACTTGCCTCCCGCACACGGAAGTTGGGTGCAGACGTCTGCGAAGATCGTGGTGCAGAACTGGTGAACCGAGGAGGTCCTCCTCGACGAGTGTTCTGGTGCTGCAGTGCCAATCTGGCCGCGGTAAGACCATCCTCAGGCTCATGCTCTCGGACCCAGGTACGTACGTCGGGTGGTAGTACACGTAGAAGCTGCTCCATGATTACGAGCTCTCCGATTTGCTCCTTGGTGAGCTGGTCGGGACGAACCCATCTCCGGTACAGGCTCTTGAGGCGATGATATGTCTCAGTCGGGGTCTCTCCAGACGGAACTGTGGGACACCGGAAACGATGCCTATAAGTTTCAGGGGAAATGTCAAATTTGGTTAATAGCGCTTCTTTCAAGTCCTTGTAGCAGTGAGCTTCATCTTCATCCATAGCTGTGTAAGCTTCCAATGCTTTTCCAGACAGCAGTGGTACGAGACGGCATGCCCACTCAGACTCTGGCCATCTCCAAGTCTTAGCTATGCGCTCAAACTGCAATAAATAATTTTCAATGTCCTCCCCAATCTGGAATGGAGGAATCTTTGGCTCCACTGCATATGGTCGCCAATCTAAAGGGGTTGCATTGTCCAGACCAGCAGAACCCTGTTCTGACAGCCGGTGCAGTGTGGTCGACTCGCCCTGGGGTCGCCTTGAAGGTCCAGGGGTTGGCAAATCCCTCCTTGGACTGCTTGCCCGAGAAGTTCCTGGAGCCCTAGCTCTCGATGCGGGTGAAGGTGACTGCAGCGTCGTATGGAGGTTACGGATCTCTTCAAGCAGACCCTCCTCTCTCCTCTGCTGACCTTGCATGAAATCCTTCATGAGGACCACGAGCTCTGACATAGGTGGCGCAGTGGCACCACCGTGCTCATGGACCGTAGTCTCCACCGCATCATCAGAAGCATACTCCTCTTCATACTTCCTTTGGGAACGAAGTCCTTTTCTTTTTCTTCGGCTCGCCATCCCACTCCTGACACCATATGTGACGGGGTTCTGAATGTGAAATAAAATGATGGCGCAGCCAGAGTACTTTTAAAGTTTTATGCTCCGTCACATGATTGATCCATCCATCCAACCATTTTCTACCCCTTAATCCATTTCTGGGTCGGGGGGGTGGCCAGAGATGCCACCCAGTACACTGGGTAAAATAAAATAAATTATATATAATTGAAATTCGCCTTTTAATTGGTGGGTTCTTTGTGTTCATCTGAGCGCTTATCTACTTTTAATAAAGGGATAGCTGTTACGAGGTGGGGAGCAGGAGGACTCAAAATGCGGGAATAAAAGGAAAATAAAAGTCCAGAGGAAAACAAAACTCAAAATCCAAATACGGAACCAGGAACGAAGATGATACAGGACATTACGTGCCACACAGCCAGATAAAGTGAAAGACGAGACAGGTACATTCCAGGTGTCAGTGTAATGTTCGTACGTGGTACTGAAACAGAGGCAGCCAAATTTACAACTTATAAGATGCGTGTGTCACTCCCTGGATATAATTGCCCTATTTATAACTATTTGAACAGGGAGACATATAACTGGTTCTCACAGTCAGCAAAGCGCTGGGCCAATTATAAAGCCTTATATGAGAGCATCAGTGCAGGATCTTCCCTAAAGTTACTATCCCCGAGCGTCACTCGCTACTGCCGACAGGAGACTGCATGGACCCAGAAGAGGAGCTGGCTTCACATTTTACATTGGCTGCTAATGGTGAACTCTGTTATGTCGTGCATCTCCTCAGTAGGAGTGTGACAATATATCGATATGCTGATGTATCGTGTTACTTTCTCACGCAATTGATTATCAATAGGCTTTTGCTAAGTATCGATTAAAAAAAAAAAAAAAAAAAAAAATATTTATTTTTTTAAAGTATTGATATTTAATATATGGCTACCATACACATTCTACAATTTCTGTAGAATGTTCATATTGATTTTGTTGGATGTGAGACAGATTAAGTAAGATTTTTACTAAAATGCGCAGGTTAAAAGGCATTTTTGCCTGTTCACTTTAATGTTACACATGACACTTTATCCATTTATCTTGAAAGAAAGTTTTTTTTTACTTAATTTACGCCATAAAGCAAAAAAATATTATCGTAGGTATATTTTTGACCAATATATCAATAATTGCTGCATCGTCATATCGTGAAATAATCGTTATCGTGAGCTTTATATCGCACATTGTATTGTATGATGAGGTACCCTGAGTTCCCACCCCTACTCCTCAGTGAGATGTACAAAACAAACAGTCCTTACTTTCATTTTCTACGTCCTGTTATTTGAAATCAAAACCATAAAAAATATTTTGTAGTTAGATACTGCTTCGCTGTATTCCCAGACCTTAACCGCTTTGACATGTCAACTCTGAGATGCATGATCAAGCCTAGCATTTTTTGCATGAATAACAAAAAACAGCTCAGAGAACTGGACCTAAATTCCACCAGTGTCTACCTCTCAGCTGCAGACGCTGACTTGGGTGTCCCATTCAGCCTACAATATCAAATGCCTGCTTCGATGGAGCTGCTCACAAAGCTGGAGCTCCTATGTCCTGCAGCCGGGATGTCTTTCAAGCTAACAGTCCGAGAGTTGCCTATAGAGAGGTTTTTTTTTGGTGTCTCTCCATTCCCTAGAGACTCAGTTAAGAAATTTTAGCTCTCTAGGTTTTGGCCGTAGAAGCGTTTTGGCCTGAGGGAGAGTCTTTCAAAGATGCTGGAGGAAACCACTGTTTTAGCTTTTAGTGCGACACAATTACTCACCCTCCCCATATCCCTTTTCTCAGGTCACACTTTTGAAAGATGACCTCTGAAACAGAATGGATCTATCCCTTCTGTCAGGGTTGATTGATGTGCGCACAGGTCCTGCGCGTAATGGCCTAACATCAGCCACATTCTGTCCTCCTCAACCATTGTTGAAGTCGTTTGACTCCAGGATATATTAGAGCTTTGGTGTTAACAACATTCTTCTTAATGATAACTGCTCTTGTATCAACAGAATTCTTCTTCATTTAGCTTTAACTGTTATATAAAAGCTCAGGCAGTTCGACCTGCGCGTGTTAGAATGGTTTTGATGTTATGCATGATATGCTTCTTTAATTATTCTTTAGCCTCTGTTATAGTGTTTGTAAACTTAATTGAGGCTGAAGTGGCAATAAACAATGTTTGAGTTTTCCTATAACCCTCTATATTTCTTCCCATGGTTTCCAAGTTGATGCCTACAGGGTCTGACTGGCAGCCTGAATCAAAGAAATCTAAGAGTGTTGTTGTTATGAAACCAAAAATACTCTCGACTGCAGTTCCTAGAGGGTTTGGAGGCTTTGAGTTCTAAGAAACATGCAGGCCATAAATAGACAATAACAGAATCTTGATATTCTAAGTTAATCACAATACTTTACATTACACAAGCCAAAGTCAGTAATTTCAAGGCTTGTTTATCATTTGTATGTGTTTAAACCAGAAACAAGCCAAATATTTTTGTTTGTTTTTTTTCCGTGGGGACACTAAAATCCCCACAGGATCCTCCTTTATGAAGGTTGTTGTTTCTCTGTCAGCTGAGGTCGAGCTGTTTTAGTTTACATTGAGTTCTAACCGGAAAATGTCTGGGTAGCCCACGTGAAGTCTCATTAAGTTTGCAGTACTGTAGGAATTCCCCGAGCACATGGGTCCTTTAGCTCCAAGCTGTAATACACTATCCAGATATTATAGTAAATCCATGACTGTAGCAGAAAAAGATGTCCCAACAGCATCTTGGCAGGGTGAAAGCTCGGTCCAGCTATTTTCACTAGTATTAGTTTGGATGAACATAAATGATGCTGCTTGTTGTTCTAGCTGTGACGCCTGTGGATGAGGAACCTGTGTTGTCTTTCAGGAGTGCTGTGGCTGTGCATCGTGGCAGAGTGCCTGTACATCCTCCTCCTCTCCACTGGGGGCATCCTCATGTCCATAGAGGTGTGTCATATCGGGAACGTGATAGATGGCCTCAAGCTCAACGCCTTTGCAGCAATCTTCACCGTGCTCTCCGGTAAATCCTACACTCCATAAACATTCCAAACTAACCGCTCTAACAACAATCTGATGAAGCATTTAAGATGTTTCAACATTTTATATGTGAATTATACTAAAATATTATATTATAGTTATATCAAGCTCCCTGGTCTCTGGTAGAGCATCGAGCTGAAAGAGGGATAACCGCCTGCGGAAGGTGAACGTAGCAAAAACACATTCACAACTATCTCTTAAGTAATTTCCACTGCAAGGGAAGGACAATGTGAGAACTTTCCAACTTACATGAATGAAAACACAAACAAAAGAGACATTTTACCTTTCAAAGCAAAGGAAGGTTTCTCACCCATCATCTGTACTTCTTAGCAAGTTTTCCCGACGTTTCGTCCTCAACCTGGGGACTTCTTCAGGGAATGAATTCTCGGACCGCGCGTTGGAGATTTATAACCTATGGGTGTGGTAAGCCACACCCTAATCCTGATACTAACTCGTAAACAATCTCAGGTCTGCTTGATGTAGAAGGGAGCAGGTCTAACGACCCTGCTGAGGCTAACGACCCTAACTCCTTAGCATGTCACAGACCTATTGTCTGCTGGGATGCTCAAGTGGAGTGCAGGTTTCACCCCTCCTAACTCATTAGCATGTCACTGACCTTGTCCCAAGTTAGGGCGTTGTTTTTAGGATGTCGTCATAGATGCGAGGCAAAACAAATCTTAACCCTCCTCCTCTGTTAAGAGAAGGTTTTTGTTTCCTCACAAAAATGGCTTCTTTCGCCCCTCTCTCAAACCAATTCTTCTCCCGAGCCAGAATTTTAACCTCTGTGTCATCCACTGTGTGGTTGGAGGCCTTCAGGTGGAGATGAACAGCCGACTGTGGCCCACTAGAGTTTTCTCTACGATGTTGGTAAAGTCGTTTCTGTAGAGTTTGTTTGGTTTCTCCAATATAGTGGTCAGTGCACTCCTCTTCACTACATTTAATTGAATACACCACATTGCTCTGTTTGTGTCTGGGTGTTTTGTCTTTGGGATGCACTAATTTCTGTCTTAACGTGTTGAAAGGTTTGAAATACACAGGGATTTTGTGTTGCCTAAAGATTCTTTGTAGTTTCTCTGAAACTCCCGCCACATACGGTAAGGACACCCCTCTCCTCCTACTTTCTTCTGTCTGTAGGACTGTGTCTCTGGCCTTTCTCGTCCTTTGGGCTTTAGTAAAAGACCACTTGGGGTAGCCACATCTGGAAAGTGCTCTCTGAACATGTTTGGTTTCTCTGTTCTTTCCCTCCGAGCTAGTGGGGACCTGGTGGGCTCGGTGTTGAAGCGTTCTAATGACCCCGAGTTTGTGTTGTAGCGGATGATTTGAATCAAAGGCCAAGTACTGGTCAGTGTGAGTGGACTTTCTGAAGACCTCAGTCTCTAATTGTCCGTTCTCCAGTATGATGACCTTACAACCTTACAACTATGATGAGAAACCTTCCTTTGCTTTGCCTAAAAACAACGCCCTAACTTGGGACAAGGTCAGTGACATGCTAATGAGTTAGGAGGGGTGAGACCTGCACTCCACTTGAGCATCCCAGCAGACAATAGGTCTGTGACATGCTAAGGAGTTAGGGTCGTTAGCCTCAGCAGGGTCGTTAGACCTGCTCCCGTCTACATCAAGCAGACCGTAGATTGTTTACGAGTTAGTATCAGGATTAGGGTGTGGCTTACCACACCCATAGGTTATAAATCTCCAACGCGCGGTCCGAGAATTCATTCCCTGAAGAAGTCCCCAGGTTGAGGACGAAACGTCGGGAAAACTTGCTAAGAAGTACAGATGATGGGTGAGAAACCTTCCTTTGCTTTGACTAATCCCTGTACGACTGAGGGCTTACACAAACTTATTTTACCTTTCAAGTAAATTCCTCTTTGTTAAATAGTTCAAAAGCAATAACACAATCAGAGAGGATTGGATTAATTTATTATAAACTATATATATATATATATATATATATATATATATATATATATATATATATATATATATATATATATATATATATATATATAATATATGCAGCAAAAGCAGTTAGTAATAGAGTATTCAAGGTATTCTATACAATACTGGATAACTAAAATACTCATTACTAGCTGCAGCCCTCAAGCACGTAATGGTCTTTTCACCAGAGAAACTTTTTGTGCTAAAAGACAAAAACGGTTGTCTTTTTTTTCTCCTTCTCCCCAAATGTCTGTCAGCGACAGTAAACAATAACCACACAGAACATGAACGGACGGTTCACTCCTGGGACGCTGAACATGGAACAATACTCCTTTAAAGGACCGATCATACAGGAGAAATATACATATTTTTAAGTTCCACAGCACACATCCCATAATAATCCTAAGCACACAGGAGCTTGAGCAAGTGCTGACACTGGAGGATACAATGATGAGAGTTGAGACGGTGAAATGTGCTGCAGTGAGCAGTTTGGGGAAAACAATGTTATGCTCTTAACTAGAATCTTCTGTTTCCTGCGCCTCAAAGAAGCGGGAGATAAACCGCGGACGTAAGCACCAGACACCGTGGGTCACATCAGATACTAGGATCCAAACTCAGAGGACGGAAGGAAGAGGCAATATTCACTCCTTAGCAATGAAATCAACAACTTTAATTGGATTTAAAGCACAAAATATCTCTTGCATCCACATATAGTATGCAAGAGATATTTTGATATAAAACCTGTATTTCAATAAGATGAATACATGAGTTGTGGCCTGATTTGTTCACAATATTTTACTTTTACAAGACACTTCATTGGACGACAGCATGTGGTATTTATGAAACAAAAGTAAAACAGGATTACTCAAACATCTGGAAACATCTCTGGAGAGGACAAGGTGCAAAGCTCTGAGGAGTTTGCATTATTATTATCATTATTATTATTATTATTATTATTATTATTAGCAACCAGAAATAGAAGATTGTAGACTGATTTACTATTTCATGGTATGTACTGTGGTAGAAAGCTGACCTCTTGTGGTCAGTGTGTGTAAGTACAAGAGTATTACTGTAGTGTGTGTGTGTGTGTGTGTGTGTGTGTGTGTGTGTGTGTGTGTGTGTGTGTGTGTGTGTGTGTTGCAGGGCTGCTGGGGATGGTGGCCCACATGATGTTCACTACTGCCTTCCAGCTCACCGTGAGCCTGGGCCCAGAGGACTGGAAGCCTCAGACCTGGGACTACAGCTGGTCCTACATGTGAGTCAGACCCAGAGACCTTGGACCAAGAGCAACACAGAAACACACAAATGGCAATCAAAAATGCAACATTTCAACTGCATTTTTGGAGGCAAAAATATCAATGAGTGGAGACTTCTAGACTATAAGTGTTCTTAGCTGAAAACCCTAAAGTTTATTGAGCCAGCAGCTGTGTAGAGCAGAGCAGCATACAACCAGAATGTCATGTTGGTTGATGGTGGTCCCTCTTGGGTGGTGATGGCAATGGATCTTAAGTTAAATTATTATATATTAATTTCAGCCTAATAATTGAAGGGGTTATTATTAACAATATTTACACTATCTACACTCTTCTTCTTTTATGAAATAAAAGGCTTGAAGATCGGCTTAAAGGTTCTCTCCCTCATTTTCACATCTTTAGATCAGCCTTTTCAGGTAAAGTGTAAAAGAGAGGACCATCCTCACTCTCAACCCAAAGAGTCAAATCGTGACTCACAGAGCTCTTTCTTACAAGAATGTGAAGATAAGATTTTTTATAAAAACATGAAGAGTGCAATCTTGTTTGATTTGGTTCCTCAGCTTTAAGCAGTGTTTGTGCTTCCAGCCTGGCCTGGAGCTCCTTCACCGCCTGCATGGCCTCCTCCGTCACCACCATCAACCGCTACACCAAGACCATCCTGGAGTTCAAGCACAAGCGGAGGAACATCGAGAAGAACCTGAAGATCAAGCAGAAGCTGCTGGAGCTGGACTCTCCTCAGCAGCTGTGGGACATGTACGTGAGCACTGTCCCCAGCGGCACGGCCGAAGAACTGCTGGACCTGTCCTCCGGCACACGCAGACTTTCCAACGCCTCCATGTTCTTAGACCTGAGTGACCTGCCCGAGCACACACACTCCCACGGCTACTGCTGACCCGAGATCTGCCCGATCTCCCATGGTCACTGCTAAGAACTGCCCTCGACACGAGTACTGTGGTTCACAGATTCATTCATTCAGATTAGTTTCTTTATTTGCCATTTGCAGTAAAACCACAATGGAATACTTGTGCAAAAGGCCCCGGTGTGCACCAGACGTAAATGAAACAAGCTCAAAAGTGCTTTCACTGCCTTGCTGTTTGGCCGTTTTTTTGTGTGTAGTTTTTGCGTTGCTTACAGCATGCTTCTCATGCACGTGTGTGTACTCCAACAACATAAAATAACTGCTGATGTAACATGAGTTGTATTAGTTACCTTTATTTACAGTCAGAAGAAAACTATTGTGGCATGTGTGATTAGAGGACTACCGGGTCGTCCTGTTTCCCTCAGTGCTGCTCCTGCCACACACTACAGTGTCCTGTGCAGCTGTATTTTATATGGTATGCATGTCTTTTGACAGCTGCAGCAGCTCTCAGACCCACAATGAACAGGTTTGATATCTCTGCAGTAATGCTTCAGCTGTTGTGGGTTATTTTTAGAACATTCAGTAACCCCCGCGATAAACAGGGAACCACTGAGCACGGACTCCTCCTTTGCAGAGGGTCACTGCAGACCTCAGGGCCTTTGACATGTAATTATACACCTACACACTCATTCAATTGAATTCAACATTGACCAATGTTGAATTCAATTGTACCTCCGGTAGTAAAACGCGCAGGATGTAAAGGCCTGCAGCAAGTTTATCATCCACTAATAATAAAAACGAACACATTGTTTACAAGGACAACTTTGTAAAGGAAAGAGCAGCACGTGCAACAGCCTAAACTCTGACGGTAAGAGCTTCACTCACCCAAACAGCTCCACAACTTGTTCTGCTCATTATGCAAAGTACTGTCCTTCGTGTGACTGAATATGCCTCTGCAAAATGACGAGGTTGCACAGCCATGTTAAAGGTCCAGTGCTTCTGACACCAGCTCATGTCCCTCAGTGTGGGAGGAAAAGGCGACACAGGGTTTTAGGTGAAATTCCTGTGTTTTTACTCAATGCGCATGAGGCGTTGTGTATCTTACAGCTGAGACGCTATTGCACCTCTGGCTCACACTGATCACTAACTTGATCTGATTTAAAAAGGTTCATATTTTCTTTTCTGGTTCTTTCTACATGTTAGATGTAGAAAGATAGTTAGATGTAATGACTTTGTTTCGGCTGCAGAGCTGTCATCGGCCTTTGGTGACATGTCATTTATGTGTAAATCATACATGAGGAAACGGGGCAGACATTATTCCACACACACAAAAATGGCCGGGAAGGATATATATATAATTATTATCATTCTTCTGGTGAATAACGCAATTGTCATTTATGGCACTGTATATGTAAAAAAAGAACACGGCTCAAAAAACACACACACGGAGGCGATCACATTACCCCGCATAATAGCTCAGTACATGAAGTACTTGATGTTCTTGACTAGTAATAAACATGTATTCTTTGCAAACATGATACAACATTGCTTCATAGATTCTTGTCTTTAAGTCGGGGTTCTTCTGTTTTACACTTGATTAAAACACAGTGTTTGTCCAACAGGAAGAAGATTGTTTACTGTTTGTTTGTTTGCAAAGGAATGTTTTCTATTTACGATCAAAAGACTGAATATTCTTGCAGCTTATTACAGATGTTCACTGTATGGCATTTGTAGCTATGGCAACTAGTGACCACAACTGAATGTGTTTTTTATTCTTTATATCCATCCAGACCAAACACTGGAGATTGTTAAATAACGTGTCTCAAGTGCCACCGACCTTTGTAGTAACATTATCTTCAGTTCTGAGGAGACCACAGGATTATTGTGCTATTTCCAAACAATGCTTCTGTAAATGGAATATCTAATGTTTTATGGGAGCTCTATCCAGGCAATAGGAAAATAGTTAATTTGATTATGACACATTCTAAAGCTAAAATAATAATAGTTTTAGAAATGTACACTGTGGTGGGTCCTAATGTTTGCATATTTTTGTCAAAGACCGAGTGCCATTTTCTTTGATAGCAATATTTGAACCCAGAAATAGAAAGTTGTTCATAATTTTGTTTTATAAGTGCATTGAAAATACGATTGCTGTTAATGTGTTTTTCATTTTCAGTTTTATAATGTACTTTCAGAAATAACGCATGACCTTAACATTTTTCCAGTAATTGCTGTTGATTTGTGTTGTCTATAGCGCCATCTCATATTTCGCTGAGATGAGTTTAACATGAATAAAAAAATTGCTTGTTTTGGTTCGTGTTTTTGTTATTGCTCAAGCTCTCCACTAGGTGTCAGTCTTCCCCAATAAAAGACCAGTGTCCACCATGGCAGTATCGCACATATATCAATATTTTACATTCACTTTACTACATACTGCATGTTGATGGAAAAGTCCATTTTGAAACAACTCGTAAACATGTTTTGTTCGAGGTAAGCTTTGCTGTCTTTTCAAACAGGATTTATTAATAATGCTTTGACTCACATTATTTTGTTACTCCCTTAACCCCAATTAACACCTCTCCCATTACACTATTACCCCACCTATTAACCCCCCCCTACCCTCCATTACACAATATTCTTAATCTTTGTATTGCTTCGTGGCCATGTGTAGCAAAGTTATGAGGTCTTTAAAAACAACATCAAATAATGATAACAGTGTCCCGACGTTTCGTCCTTAATCCAAATAACCTTTTCAAGGGAATGAAATCTCAGACCGCGCGTTGGAGATTTATAATATCTCCATACAGGCTGCATTGTCAGTTTCCGCCACCAGAGGGAGGTGTGTCGTGTGAAATAATACAGACTGAAGCGCTGTTCACACACTTTTCATGTCCTGATCAAATGTTACTGAGTAAAAAGTTCAGTTATTTATTTTTTAAATTTCCTAAAATACCGCGGCAAAGCAAAAAGAAACACACACAGGTCTATTGTCAATGAAGGAGTCTTTTCCCAAACAGTACAGTTTGTTATTTTGTTGCTCGTTTTATGTGAAATTCACTCTTGTCTGTATTTGCTTCCATACGCAAATATTGATGTCATTAATTATATTACTTACAAATTTGTACATTCGTTTGTGATGAAAAAAAAATCCCTTCAAATTCTCGTGGCCAAAACATGGGCCCTCTGGGGAGCGCTGTTGGCCGTTTCCTTTAGTCTGAGTCCACAAATATTTGGAATTTTTCGATCGCAATAAAGTAGGAGGCCACGGTGTAGGTTCATTGATGTGAAAATGTTGTGCACCTAACAGACCATGAGGTCACGTTCTTCCTGATAATGTTGCTCTGAATGTGTGGCGTTGACATTCGGTCTGATAGAGCGCTGATTATATCCGCAGTCCATTTGTGTGCATCCATTATTCAGAACATCAGCACTTTACTACTATCCTTCTGAGGCTTACGGAACATTGAGGACCGCTGCCAATGTGAGTCAACATTTAAGAAAACATGTTCTATTGTTGAAGCAATACACTTCTAAAACAGTGGCATGCATAGACGTCGGGACTAGGGGTGCGGGGGGTGCGGCCGCACCCCCTCCGCGTGTGCCGGGAGCGAGAAGTTATCACTATCCTGCGTTCCTTGCAGCCCAAAACCCGCTCCATGCTGTCGGAGAAGCTTATGAAGCTCTGTCTGGCTAATATCTGTCGCAGCCTCTGAGCGCTCTTTCTCAGCCTTGCGCAGATTAGAGACCTGGCTACACCAGTGACGTGCGGTGGGGGATCAATCATGTGTTCATATGATTATACATCATATAAACCAACAGGACCTACAGGAACAGGAGCGGCTTATACACAATTTGTTTGGCTACAGCAGAATATGATTTAATGTCTGCATAGTTTTCTCATACAAAACGCAAACGTTTGTAAAAAGTACAAAGTGTGTTATGGGCCTTACCTTAGGTATTAATGAACAGCACAGACCACTTCAGTTAGGACCAGTTTCATGTTTAAGTCCAGATAATAGTTTGAGCACAGACATGTAATCCTCCATTTGGAAATAAGTTCAATGAGTTTTAAAAAGTAAAAAAAACGGGTGTCTCCTCCGTAAACTCCGAGTTTTGCCGCAGCCGACTCCCGGGTAAATCCAATTTCTAAATTCAACCTTACCCTTCACCTCCTTTTCTTATGATTCATATCATTATTGGAAGCAAAACATTACTCTAAGTGCATTTAAATTATCTTAAAATGTATTATAGGTATGTTAGCCAAACCTGTAGCTGCCCTTAGCAGAAGAAGAACAAGAAAGGAGCTTTCTGATGGAATTGGATGCAGCCAAAGTTTGGGCTCACAAGCGCCCCCTTGAGGCTTTCCTCACTTACAAGCTGTGGTTGAGCGCAATTAAGACCCATGTTTGCTTCAAAAACACACTTTATGAGCCATCCTCTTAAATGTAAACATGTTGATTGTAAATTAAATATTTTTGAACTTTTTAAACTGTGATAAACAGAGAAAACAGTTTGATAGCACCTCACAGGACTCTCCCTGCATGTGAGCTGTTGCTTTTTACGTCTCCCAAGAGAGGCTTGCCTCACAGCGCCGCTCTGTCAAATCTGCGATTTCAAGGTATAAATAAATGAAATAAGGCACAGCACAAATCACTTGATAAAGTGACCAAACATTATTGTATCCATTTTATTACTTTTCTTTCTATGATCTTAGGTGAGGGCCTTACCTGCCTCATCTGACCGCACGTCACTGGGCTACACAACACAATGAAGCCACCGGAGAGACTAACGCATGAATGCGTATTGAAAAAAAAAATGTTCAGTTTGATAAGTGACTTGCTTGATATATATTGTTTATTTTTTTGTTTTTCTTAACAATTAAGATGGTATGTTATTATCCAGTGTAATCCAAGTATGAGTCTCTCCCTCGACTCTCCCAACAAAAACCCGCCCCCCCTCTCAGAAAATAGTTCCGACGTCCATGGTGGCATGAATGTTTCTGTTTTTCTATTTCCACACCTTTTTTTAACCAAAGGAAACTTATAAAACAATATTCTAGAATTGATCAAGTAGCATATTGTGCCAATGTGACACATGAAAAACCTCTTATTTCAAAAGACACAAATCATTTTCACATGAAATGACCAACGAAGCACCAAAGTAAGTAAGTAAGTAAGTAATCTTTATTTATATACCGCCTTTCACAGACCAGAGTCACAAAGCGGTTTACAATTGTTATTCTTGGGCATTTGTCCTCTCACTCCACACAGAGATGGGAGCGGGGTAGAAAAGGAGTTCGGCGCTGTTGTCAAATCTATTGACAGAGTAGATGTAGAGTGGGAACAGTCACTGTGGCCGTGGTGCAGGGACAGTTCTTTATCCACAGTTCTGGTGCTCTCTGATCCAATCCCATAGAGACTCCAGGGCCCAGCTCCCACAGGAAAATCACTCTAATAATTCCACATAATGATAATAGTAAAGGCCTATATATTGTATATATTTTAAATGTGGACTACAAGGCACTATGACGGATTTCCCTTGATTGTGTTTGTGCTACTGTAGTTTTCTGTTATTCCAAGCTGTCAGGATCCTGTTCTTTGATTCAATACAATCCAGCTGCAGCTTCTCAAGGACAAACTGGAGACAGCTGTAGAGTACTGTAACCTGTCTGAGTGGATCCTGGACTACCTCACAGACAGACCCCAGTTTGTGAGAACCAGGGACTGCATGTCTGAGGTCCTGACCTGCAGTGTGGGGCTCCCCAAGGGACTGTCCTCGCTCCGTTCCTCTTCACCCTCTACACTGTGGACTTCACACACAGACAGCTGTGTCCTACAGAAGTTCTCTGACGACTCTGTTTCATCAGACTCATCACTGATGACGACAACGCAGAGTACAAACACAGGACTTTGGGGACTGGTGTCAGCGGAACCCAGCCAAAACCAGAGCTATCCCAGGATTAAACCAGGACTAAACCAGGACTGACGATGGGGGAGTCAGTGCTTCTGGACGTATGTCTTCACCCTGACTTCACATTCTATCATAACTGGGTGCTACTGACACAATCGCCGATGTCTCTGGAGGATCTCGGAACGAAGACACACCACAGAGCTGCGTTCGCATTGAAGAATTATACTGTATGTAAAACAAAAAAGGGCACGCTTAAACTCTGCATCATAGCCCACTCAACACTCCACGACGCATCCAACATCTCATGTCAGTGCAATGGTTTTATTTTGAGTCATGCAACAATGATGTGGCGATGCAGCGGCGGTGGGAACATGAGAGTGTCATTGAAATGTTGGGATCAATTATTATCGCTGACAAACTCATTTCAGTTCAAACAGAACAGTCGCACTAAAACAGAGAATTATACACATTAGAAAATTAGATACATGTGTATCTAATTTCATAGACACTTAATAATTGTGTAATAATTATAAATATATACCATTGTCACAATGTACGGACATCATAACATAGTTTTAGAAGAGTAATATATTACATTATTTTCAGGAAATGTTAATTTATTATAAATTCCAAAAGTATTTCTTTGTTATTAGCACATTATAACAACGGTTTTTCCTGCCAGTTTATTACCTGGACATTACATGGAAATTACCAGGAAAAAACTATTATTTCCGTATTTTTACTTTGGCGTGCTGTTAAACAGTATTGCGGTCCACTAAACCTGCAGAGTCCATATGTCATGGGCCTTGGGGCATTGTGTTTCAAGATAAAATAATTCTGATCTGTGTAGTTGTTTCTATTGGACGTTAGGGTTGTTGAAGAGAAGCACGTAAACCAAATGGAGTCATTTTCAATAAAAGCATTAAATATTGACCTCAAGAAACTGATCACTTCACAAAGAGGGTCACCACCAGGACAGCTGGAGGTAATTCTTGTGTCATTGTTGTTGATCTTAGTCAGTGTGAGCCGACTGTAACAAACACAAAACTCTTCTTCACACAGACGTAATGCTACTCAAATAATTGCAAATGATTCAACATGTTTATTCTTTCAGGAGTGGAGCAAATAATAGAAAAAGGAAACTTTCCACATTTTTATTGCTGCAGTATTTGATTATTAAGTGAAAGAACCAATACTAGGGTTAATCCAATATGTGTAGCCTTTCTGCTTTGAAGCTCATGTGCAAAATAGAACAAAATGTTTTTCTTAAAGCGATTGTCTGTAAGTTTGAAATCATCAACACGTCATCCTACTTTACATATTTACACATTAGAGTTTGAACTTACAGATATTCACTTTAATTTACCAATCTTGCAAATAGGGCTGGCCGCAATTGTAACTTTAAAGGTACAAGTACAATATGTAGGTACTGGTAAAGTCAAAATATCACAGTGTTTAAGAGAAAAGTATAGTTATGTTTAAGTTAATTTCCCTTTTTGCTTGCATGAGTTCTTCACATGACGACATGGCTGCAGCAGATAAACAGCAGAGGTAAGCAGACAGACAGCCTCAAACAGCCTAAGACTCCCTATACAGCCCTGAAGAATAAGTTCATTTGTTATTAGTCCAGAACATGGTTTGCCTTCACTCTCATCACATGCTTTTTGGTCCATATAAATACACACACATGTCCATTCCGGTCACTGCCAGCCAAAGTCCTGCCTGGCCAGCTTGTAGAAGTCCTCATTGTGCGGCCGATAGAACTCCCGCAGACTCTTCAACACATGGGGGTCTATGCGGGCATGCGTTCGGCCCTTGGTTTTGCCCAGGCAGTGAGGCTTGCTGCTACCTTCTGGCTTCTTGAGACAGGGAAATCCTTTGGTCTTGTTGAAGTAGAAGTGTTTGTCTGTAACAATTCGCTGGAGACCCAGGAAGTCCTGCACCTTGGCCAGCTCTCCCGCCGGGTCGCTGATGAGCCGCTCCCCGCTCACCAAGTGTATTTGCTCCAAAGGGAACCAGTCCAACCAGCGCTGGAGATGCAGGGCGTAAAGGCCGATCCAGAGGGGGCTCCACTGGCTGTCCACCTCGGCTAGATAGAAGAGAGCACAGGTTTTATTCATGTCATTGTAGGGATGCATATGATGTAAATGTACTGCTCTCTCTTTCAGAACCAGAATCATTTTATTGCCATGTGAGTCACGAGAAGTCACAAACTAAGAAATTGCTTTGGCTCTTGGTGCAAACAAGTTTAAGCAGAATAAAATCAAAAAGGCATGCATAAATAAAAATCGAAATACATTTCTTCAGTTCTGAGCTCCAAAAAAAATTATGTCTGGAAAAGTTTGAAAGTGAGCAAGGTCTGAAATAAATCTAGAATTATTGCATTAATGCTGCGAACATTTACAAGAATATTAGCAGCCAAATTGGACTGGACATTTCACGCATGAACATTTAAAGTCATTATAAGAGGCTGGAGGACGAGGATGGTTCTTGTGTTTTAAGGAATGTTGGGCTAATCTCTCTGCAAAGCTGTGATTTTACCAAAAGCAGTGGTCAGACCTTGTCACATTCAGAGCTACACACATGAGGTGACTCTGAAGCTGCGTAAGTCCATGTCAGTGATCAGTGTCTTTCTTTAAACATTTGTGAATATTTTTTCTCTATTGGCGGTCAGAGCCTCAAGAAAATGACTCTGCAAATTCACTCACAGTTTGGATTTTGCTGCTGCTCCAAAACTGTCGAATAGTGAAAAAATAGTGAAAAAGATGTGATTTAAAAACCTCCAACAAAGGGTTTTTAAATCATATCTAAAGACACATTTTTTCCTTGGCTTTAATCTTCATCCGACTTCTACTGTTTTAGATTTTACATGTATTTGTGTGGATTTACTGCTGTTTACTTTTCTTTTTTCTTCAGTGCAAATAAAGCAGCCATTGATAGTCAGCATTGCGAAGGGGCTGTTTCGGGGCCTGGGTACCTGTGGAGTGGTTCTTGAAGGCCAGGGTCTCGAAGGAGGGGATGTGGGGGGTCTTGGAGATGATCTGGGTGTAGTCTGAGATGGCCCTGGTCACCGGGTCCCTGACCACGACGATCAGCTTGACGTGGCGTGACATGGCGTGGACCCGGCTCGGCGTATCCGTGGTGACAAAGTACCGTGGGGTCTTCTCCATGACGACCTGGCCCTCCAGCGCTTTGGGCATCATGCTCCTGACCACACACAAGTTCAAGAGGTCATCAACCAATAATGATAATAATGCAAAGGTTTTATGTTGTGCTTTTTGGAACACTCAAAGATGCGTCACATGTCATTATTCAATCACTACAAACACAGTCTTGATAAACTAATACTAGTCACAGCTGCCCTGGGGCTCACTGACAGAAGCAAGACAACCAGTCTGTGCCATCGACCCCTCTAACCACCACCAGCCATTCACACACACACCAGACTCCTCAGCAATGTGGGTGAAATGTCTTGACTAAGGACGCCACAACAGTTGGGCACTTTACAACCGCAGCCACCCCACTGTGGCACCTGGTGTTTCCAGAGGCCTCCCATCACAGGACTAACCAGGCCTCCTGCTTAGCTTCTGAAGGAGGAGAAACACAGGCGTCCGTTATTGGTGTGAAAGATACAGTATATTTTTTGCATACTTGTAAGAACAAATCCTGCGAGTCTCGATCTTTGACGCTTTGTGCATTTCTAGTTCACAAATATTGTGCGTAGGGGTGCGTAGGGTTGTGTAAGAGTGCGTAGGGGTGTGTAAGAGTGCGTAGGGGTGTGTAAGAGTGCGTAGGGGTGTGTAAGAGTACGTAGGGTTGTGTAAGAGTGCGTAGGGGTGTGTAAGAGTGCGTAGGGTTGTGTAAGAGTGCGTAGGGGTGTGTAAGAGTGCGTAGGGGTGTGTAAGAGTGCGTAGGGGTGCGTAGGGTTGTGTAAGAGTGCGTAGGGGTGTGTAAGAGTGCGTAGGGGTGTGTAAGAGTGCGTAGGGGTGTGTAAGAGTACGTAGGGGTGTGTAAGAGTGCGTAGGGGTGTGTAAGAGTGCGTAGGGGTGCGTAGGGGTGTGTAAGAGTGCGTAGGGGTGTGTAAGAGTACATAGGGGTGTGTAAGAGTACATAGGGGTGTGTAAGAGTGCGTAGGGGTGTGTAAGAGTGCGTAGGGGTGCGAAACCTTAAATCCTCCTCCTATCCTTACACGGTAATGTTATGAACAAAGTGATTTATCAAATTTTTAAAACAAAAGTATTCCCTGCCAATTGGTTTTGAAATGTCAACATTCCTGAACTATTATTTTTTCTACTTTTTAATGCACCATACATACACAACTGTTTTTAATGTTCCATACATACACAACTGTTTTAATGCACTGTTTTTAAAGCTCCACACACTGTCTGCTCCATGAAAGCACTGATGGGGCTTGAAACCCTGGACTCCCTGGACCTGAGGACCAGCCCTTAGTCTGCCGTTGGAGGTTGACGGGTAATATAAATACATTTGATTTGATTTTCTGGATGGTATTTTTGATCTGTATATTTTCTACTACATTCTCAAACATGAAACACCAAAGTCAATGTTTATCGGCCAAAACAGTCACTAAATAATGACTCACTTTATTGACCGTTAGAAAGGCTGAAGTACGTTCCCTCTCCCTCCTCCCTCTCCTCTCTTTCCTCTCTATCCTGTGTGTGTGTCTCCTGTGTCTCCTGTGTGTGTGTCTCCTGTGTCTCCTGTGTGTGTGTCTCCTGTGTAACGGTTGTGGGGCAGATGGGACTTCTTTGGAGATAAATGAGAGAGGAGGCCCCCCGGGAGCGCTTGGAGAGCGGGTACATCTGCTTCACACCTGAGTCGAGCCTGGGCTCGCAGTGGGGCATAGCTCTGGACAAAGACTACGATTGGAACCAGCGCTCAGCTCCACTTAAAGAGGACACATTATGCAAAACATAGACTTAGAAGAGATTTGAACAATGAATTCATTTCCTTCCCTTGACAATTAGCACACTCAAAGTTGTGTGATCCGGTAATCTTATCTCCTACATTTTATTTATTGCATTCCAGTTTTAACCCTGTAGAAACCAGACAGAAACATATTTTTGGAAAGCAGCATTCAATGACCACATTTCACAATGTAGCATATTTGCTTCATTGGATTTTGGGGACACACAGTAGACTTTAGCCATCTGTTGAGCTGCTGCAGGGTTAAACAAAGTTTGATTTAAAGAGAAATACAAAAAAGATAAGATGACTTATCCTAACTTATCAAAGGGGACTACAAAAAAAATCAGCCTACACAGACTAAATCAATTCATTTTGTAAACAATCAATTATCATAATTTTCAAAAAGTTTGCTTATTAGTTCTGTGACTGTGGTTCGGTGACATCACAGCCACAGAAAGGAGAGCACTTAACAAGGTGCTCCGTCCTCAAAGAGGACTGTGAGCTGTGAGCTGCCTGTTCTGGAGGCTCTTTATGAATCTAGACTCTGATTCTTCTGTCCCCTGGAAAAGTCATGTTCAAGCTTCTTCCTCTGACAGAAGATGTCATTCGTTGAGATGAAGAACATCTCGCTTTGCTAACATCTTCTTTCCACAAGCTTTTCAGAAGTGAACTTTGTTCAGTTAGAACAAAGCACTTTGATGACTGTATTGAAACTGTTTTTATTGATTGCTCTCACAGTGGCAATTGTTTCTTGTACATTTTTTTGCTTGTTTTATTTATGTATTTGTCTGGTGCACACTGGGGACTTTTGCACATGTATTCAAATATGGTTTTACTGCAAATGGCAGTATTTACATATTATACATAGATACATTTTTGGGATTTATTTTTTTGCTCCTGTCCACGCCTTAAATTGAGTGGAAAGTCAAACTTATAAGATCCCATATGGCTAAATTAATCTCATAAAGTTTCATTGCTTTTTATTGTTTGTATTATTTTTATCCATCAAAAATATAAAAATAATAATACACAACATATAATAATAATAATAATAACAATTTACCACTATTTTTGTTTAAGTGTTTCTTTCATCCTTTTTAAACCAATGTAGCGGATGTGGACCGGTAAGTTTGGCACCATTTCTCAGCGGTCCCAGGTGCATCCAGAAAATCCACAGCAGCAGAGCGTCCGCACAGAGGAGAGAGGCCAACACTTTGTTTCACATTTACAACATTTATGGACATTAATCGACGTGTACTGTCATTGGTCATTGACTGACACGCATCAAGAGAAGCCGCTCAACTCACGGAAATGTGTTCTGGCAACTCATCCTCAGAAGAAAGAACAGAAAGTCCCACAAGACACGCGTGTGCACGGTCAAAGTATACGGTGGTAAACGAGACAATAATCACAGCTCAATGATTGTGGTAAAAGTAGTTCTTGGTTTTATAGTAAGTATGGGCACCGCTGCACAACGGATTCAAACCTCTTTGCTCTGAGAGTTTTCAGAATCTGTATCCACCTGATTATATAAATTATTATATCACAGACAAAAGCATTCTTGTCCTTTTTCGGGAAAATGTGAATGCCATAGAAATAAACACTGCTATTTGCTTTCTGCAGCATTAGGACCCAGTGTTATGGCCCCAGAGCTAATTTGTCCTTTGGGAAATAATATGGACCAATATGACCTTCCATCTGTTTGTCCACGCAATAACAACAGCATTAAGCATGAGCCAATTTAACCATAGGATTTCACAATATTGTAAATCTAATATGGAAGTTATTTAATCAACCTTCAAAAAAGAGCCAATGCAGAAGATGAGGCTTATCCAGTGTCCAAGAACATTCTCCTACTATAAATGTGTTTTAGATTTGTAGCTTTGTGTAGAGAGGAAAAACTGAAATAATCATCTGTGTTTGGTCATGGCTTACCCACCACACCCATGTCCCCCCACACTCCTGTACCACCACACCCCTGTACCAAAGGGGAGGGGGGACAAGGGATATTGATCCACTGATAGCTGTCCACCAGGAGGCAGGCAGATGAGGGACAAAACAAAGATATCCCCAAAAAAAAGCATTACAGAAGCGACATACCAAGGCACAAAGGCTTCATAGTTGTTGTTCCTCTTTTTATTTCCCTTCCCACCTGAGATACCACTGCTACCCCTGGTTTCTCCACTTTATTTTCTAAATATGAGATATATTTAACAAGTACACTTAATTTATCCTGCAAATGCCACTGGAGTCGAGAGACGTAGTACAGCGTCTAAGGCCCATCTCCAAATGTTGATGCTTGACTTAGAAGATTTGGCAGCATCATGGAGGTAATATTACTCTGGTCTGAGCGGAGCCTTTGATGAAACACAATATGTTTCTATATTCTCTCATCTCCGCTGCTCACAGGCGTTTACAGCTCCACAGCATTTAGACATGACAAGTAACCAGCTGATTCTATTCATGAGCTTTGGGAAATGATCCAAAGGACCACAGAGAATACAATTGGTTCCATCGCAAAAGAAAAGCTCTGTCACACAGGAGGAGCTCGGAACAGAGCTGCTGCTCCTCAATGTGACGAGCACTCAGTTTCAAATGTACTAAATTATATTTTCAAAGACTTTGCGTTCCGAGGATTCACACAAAGTCAGGAGTTTGAGATAGGAAAGTACAGCACAGACCCCATCTGCACCACGTTTGGTTAAATGCGCCCCCCTCATTTACAATTCTAATATGAGTCATTACAGGGAACACTTGGAGTTCATACCCACACAGAGGCGCTGGAGGGAGGGCCCCCAACAATAACATGCTTATGTCCGGGATCCATGAAGATGATTCTCTCTGGAGGCTGTGTGCAAGAATTTCAACTTTCATCCCGTCATTAGGGAGTTATTAGTTGGATTACAATCATATGCCTATTGCACTAGTTCAACATTTTAGGAAAGCTTTTGTTGTTTAGGATACCACAGTGGCTGAGTGGTTAGCATTTTTCTGAGTGGAGTTTCCCCCCTGTGTTTGCGAAGGTCTCCTTGTCATGTTACCACTAAAAACATGTAAAACAGATATAATCATCCAGCTCCGGTCCTGACCAAGAGCATTTACATCTGGGAATGCATTCTAGGCGCCTTTGCTCCTACCAGAGGCCCCAGTGCGGGATGGGTCAAACGTAAATGACACAATTCCCTACGGGTAAAATAAAGTAAACCAAAACTTTATATGCATGCTGTATTCAGAGTTTGAAGGCAAGACGTGCCCTTCCTCAGATAAAGTCACATTCA